TTTGTAATTACAACCAACTTTGGATAACTACACAGCTCTCTCTCTCTCTCTCTCTCTCTCTCTCTCTCTCTCTCTCTCTCTCTCTCTCTCTCTCACTCTCTCCGTTTCGTTTGCTCTCCTTCATTTCGCCCCGGCTCTACCTGTCTCCCACCTCTCCGTCTCTCTCCCTCTCACTTTCCCTCTCTTTTAGTAGCTCAAATATAGAAAGTATTAGTTTCGCTAATAGTGGAGCGCGGGTCCGCCGCCGTCTCAGAACTCAAATATCGCCCATTCCGTGCTCCGTATCGCCCAAGTGTGTGCGAGTGCGTATTTTTTTTTTTTTCCCCACAAGCACCATCGACGCCTGCCGCGCGAATTAATCTTGATTTACGCGTCGCTTGCGAAAACGTTTGTTTAATTGGGACGCAGCGCGCGGTATAACGCACGATATCTCACATGCACATGCAAATCCGGAAATTATTACCCGTGTAAGGGATTCTCCTCGCTCTTTAGCCGACATACCGGCGGATTCTGCTTAATTACGAACAACTGTCGCGATGCCGCGTTAGTAACGTTACGGCTTCACCGAGCGGCGCTCCCGTTTGTAGTCGAGTCGCGGCCGTTACGCCCGCCGCGGATTATCAGCGAGAGGTGTGCGCCCTCGGCAACGAAAGGCGACGACGTCCCCGTGTCGATCGATACCAAGCCCGGGTGGTAGCAGCGTCATTCACGCTTTTTTCCGCTCCGCTGCGCGCGATGCGTTAAATATCCACCCCCGAAAAACGAAATTCCGCCCGCAGCGATATCTCACCCTCCCCACCGCCCCCGTCGCGTTCCAAAATTAATTAAAATTAATATCGAGATGATCCACAGACCGAGGGCACGAACGGCGGCGCGGAAGGAGGGGGGAGAGAGACTCGCCAAGAGGCGAGCAGCCCGCGGAGGTGCGGGGGAGGGAAAATACGCTCGCGAGAGAACGGAGGTGCCCCGGTAACGACTCTTAATATTTTCAATCGCGCCGGATGGTATCGCGCGCTCGATCGAGCCCGGGAATTTTCGGCGTAATAATAAAGTCCTCGCGGATATCCGAGCGGCTTACGGCGCACCCCCCGGTGCTCTCGCGCGCGTGTTCGCCTCTCCCTTAATGGCCCCGCGCGTTTCCTCTTTCTCGTCGCCGGAGAGAAAGCGATATCGCCACCGGTGGTAAGACCCACTTCGTACAAAAGTCTCCTCCCCCCCCCTCCCCCCGCAGTCTCTTTTTACCGCTGGCCAGCCCACGAGCCGCGGAGGGGTAAAGTTATACCGATTGCCGCTGTATTAAATATAAACTCCCCCCGGCCCCGCATTGGAAGTATATATCGCGCGGGCTGAGCGTTTCTTTCAACTATCGCTCGCCGTTCTATCGCTGCCGGATTCTTTGTGGCGCTCGCGAGGAAATCGCCTGCTCGCCGTATCGCTCCTTCGCGTCGCGACTCTGCGCTCACCTGTTAGCGCCCGTGTTTCCTTCAACCGCCGCCCCCGCCGCCGCGCCGCGGTCGCGGCGATTGTCGACTATGATTTCTCAACGTCCTCCTTTCCGCTTTATCTCCCTCTTTCTTTTGCTCCATTTCTCATGCCGATTCACTGTAAAACTAGACATCGGAACATGTGTGTTAAAATGGAGTGTCAGTGTGTTATTTTGACACATTAGTTAAGGCACCAAGTGCTGTCAAAATAATTCGTTTTCCGTGACAAAAGTGTGTTTCAATAAACACACTTGTCTGTAACGCACCATGTAACACATTGCGAAAACGTGTTACTTTTCCTCGACGATCCCGTGACACACGTAGAGTGTGTTATTTAGACGCAGAATGATAATCGGAAATACACTGAGAACACACTTGAATGATATATTGGATAACACGTAACACACTAGTAACGTGTTCATGATAACACACTAATTTTGTCAACACACGTTTGAATAAACACACGTATGTGTATTAAAAGAAATACACGTGAGGGAGACACGAATCGACGAAATCGGCGATTACTCGCCTTCAAAAAAGTATCGCATCTATCGAACAAATTAATGCAGTAATAACTCGCTTTCATATTATTACAGACTAAATCATTCATTATATGTTATTCATTGTTATACGTTCAAACGTAATATGTTAAATAACGCGTGACTTGAAACGAAAGAAATGTGTAAAAAAGACTCATTCATTTACACGCTTGTGCATTTCGAAGTAACGTACTTGGATTTGCAATGTTGCTCGATTCGCCTTCATAACACACTGAAAGTGTGTTATTCTAACGCACCTAACCATTGACACACATACAAACGATTATATTTAACACATACATAAATATGTTCTTTCAACGTACATACATATGTGTCAATTTAATTTGCTGATTTTGTGCGTCTAAAGTGGAGATATACTTGAACACGCCTCAAGCATGTTATCGTAACGCACTTCAGTTTACAGTCGTCGCGAAATCTATGATCCGCCGATCGGCACGATACGCGCGCGCGTGCGCGATGGCTTCCCTCCTCGGAGGGCACGTGTCGGAGATTTTAGCCATAAATCTCGATGCTACGTTGAGGGTCAGACGTTACAGTCGTTACAGTATATCATTCTATTCTTTGCATCTGCTGCTACGATTCTCTCTTTCTCTTTCTCTCTCGCTCGCTCTCGCTCTCGCTTTCTTTCCCCCTGAAAGTAGAGCGCGTTACGTTGGGGGGCAGCAGCCGTAATTTATTCGGTCGTTTCGCTATTTTGCCTCGCCACCCTATTGCAGAGAAAGGGGAGAGGAAGTAGAGAAAAAAGGAGGGCGGCGGCGGCGGAGGAACAAAGATGGAGGCGGAAAGAGCGGTATCACCGACCGACGACGGCGACGAGAGCCGTTTCTACCAACACCCGCGGCCCCCTTATTTCTTCCCCCCCTCCCTCCGCCCCACGCCCCGGATGCATCTACCTGCACCGGCTACGGCGTCGCGCGCGCGCGCGCGCGCACCACCCCCGGGGGATATGTGCTCGCTGGAAATTGCGGTTGGCTCGATCGAATTTTAAAGATTTTCCGCTGGATCAAGCGTATCTACTTTCGAGACGATAGATTACTTCACCTTCGGGACGATTCCCCGGCAACGCCGTGCCGGAGAATTTCTCCGAGAGGAAGACACGCCGCTCGCGCGCTGGATAAGATGGTCCTCGATGGTAAAACCTGATGGAACAGTAGAGCGGAATACCCGTGGGACGTACGGGGTGACCCAGAAGCAACGTGGGTGTCCTGCTCCGGTCGAGTGTCCTTTCCATAAATGTGGAACGTACTGTCGCCTGCAAATTTAGCGTCCGCCTTATCGCGGTGATGATTCGACAGCAGAGTTCAGCGGAAATTTATAGATCCCTCAATGCTCGATAATTCCACGACTGATGTTTTCCGCACACATACACATACACACGCTGAGCGTAACACACGGTCGGTGTCTGAGACATCAGTCGGCTCTCTGTCTGGCACTCTTACAATCGGACAAACACTTGGCGGCAATTCTCAAACGTCTTGCATGAAATTTCGAGGCGTCTCTCCGTGTAATCGGATAATAAGGGTGAGGGTAGTAAGGGATCTCTGATGTCAGACATGCCACAAGTTTATACATACTGTCGGATACAATTATAATTATGTAGTTGCACTAAACACACACACACAGACAGACACACACACACACACACACACACACACACACACACACGCACGTGATACGCTTCCTGCCGCTTTTGCCGAGGAACCGAGGAACCAAGACGGATCGCGAAAAGTCGTGAGTTGTATAGAAAGAGCGAAAGTTCAGGATCCGGTATATCCATCAGAGAGAAATACGAGTATGTTTAGTAATAAATCGACTGTGAGGAGGACGATCTCGCCGTGTCTGCGATGCCATTTCCGAGCTCTCTTCGTTCCCCGTTCCGTCTCCCCGTTCCCCGTTACTCTCTCTCTCTCTCTCTCTCTCTCCCCCCTTTTTCCCCTCTTCATGGAAAACTCGAGCCTCTGAAATATTCTAATATAATCCCTCTATTCGTCGAATACGAGATGCAAAGGTCATATCGGCTTTGGAACGTGCGCTTCTCTCAGGATTTCATGAGATCCCATCGTCGAATGTGTCAGATCGATGGCTCGATCTCGCGACTCGCCAGGATACGCGCGTGAGACTGTGCAAAGAGAGAGAGAGTGAGAGAGAGAGAGAGAGAGAGAGAGAGAGAGAGAGAGAGAGAGAGAGAGAGAGTATCGTAAAATATCAGCCGCCGACCGCGCAGTCGGTGAAATTTTATAATTTTATGACGCGCTGCGTTATGCATGAACGCTGAGATTAAGCGGGTTAGCCCGTTTTCCGCACGCGTTGTGCTCGCCCGACACACATCTCGCCGAGTTCCCAGACCGCCGTTATATTATACCAAAAGCGATCGTGTATCGCGAAATAATTATTCATAGCTGCGATGAGAGCGGGCGCTCTCCCCTATCCGGAGCGTAGAGAGAGAGAGAGAGAGAGTCCTCAATATGTAAGCAGCACAGCGCGCGCGGCTCAATCTTCTAAACGACTTGACTTTACGATGAAGTTCGCGATTTGCCTCAGCTGCAATTCAATACTTTCCCCTTCGCGCAACTCGCCGCCGCCGCCCTTCCCCCCCTCGGACTCCCCACCAGCTCGGTTTCGCTGTGCATCGCGAGCGTGGAGAAAGCCGTGATCCGTCGCAAAATCAACACGTTGCCCATAAAGGCCAGCCCCCAGATCGGCAGAGGGCTGATAAGGACGAGAAGATTCGGAATTGTCCGTAGGAAGGGACGCGAAGTAGCATTATGTGTTACGATGCCCTCCTCCCTTCGCCCTCCCGCCGAGCCGTTCGATCGAAATTTGTCCTGTAAAATACGCGCCTCATTCATTCATCGGCGGCGAGTTGCAGGCGAAAAATTAAATTTATTATCCATATTGTATAATATTAAATATATATATTATTAATTAAATTAATTTATCATTGTTCATTTTCCAGAGCCGACCACCGAGGAGCTAATTAACGGACGACTGTGTGCGCCCCCCGCCCCGGTATGTAAAAATATATCGGAATAATTTATCGATATCGAATCGACCGCAACGCGGACAGGCGAGCGCGCTAAATAGAAATAAATTTGCCGCGTGCATTTTTCAAGGGGAAGAGACATTTTTCGAGGGCCGCTCGCGCATCAGCGTCGCACGCATCAGCAAGTCAAATTTCCTCACACGCACGAGGTTTAACGTTTTCCGTTTTTTCTTTTTTTCTTTCTCTCTTTTCTTCACCTTCATTCTCGCATTTTCATTTATTTCCCCCGGAAAAAGAAAACAAGTTCTCGCTTTCTCCGGCGAAATGTGATTCCCGTCGCGTTACCTCTCCCGTGTGACCGATTCATTTGTGATACATACCGCGCGCGGAATGCGTTGCGACAGCGCCGCGGCGTTTGTTCTCTTTTCACTAAATCGCGCGCGTACGGTAAATGAAATTAAAACGAGCGGCGCGCGGCGCATTGCAGCGGCGTCGATTGTTGTAATTGCGGATCCGCAGAATGTATATGTGCACAAAGGAATCTCGTTTTGTCGCCATAACGCGACTCGCGCCGCGATGTATCACCGCCGCGCGTTCTCTGACAACATTCACCCCGAAGTCGCCGAAAAACACGGCGCGAAGGAGGCGCGAACGCGCACATATGTAACTTCCAGCGCACCCCGCACGTATCAACTCACGGATGCGTGTAATGTAATGTATCCACGCGTATTCGCGCAGATATACGTCCGCGTGAATTACGGCCATGATGCGCAGATAATGCGCCAAATAGTCGCAGTTTGTTATCTCGCGGAGAGACGCGTCTGTATCGCGAGGCGGAACTCGCGCGCTCCGCCACCGAATGGCGAATTCCCTCAAAAATCCCGCGAGCTCGCCGAGGGTGACAAGCGAGTCGAAATTTCGCTTCCGCATTAATATCTCGCGAATCCCATCGAACTTGAGGCGCCGACGAAGAGCCTCGAGAGCACAAAATTGTCTCTCGATGTTAGCGATTATTTCCGGACGTCTAAATATTCCATCTGAATTACTGCGAATATTAAGGAGCGAATATTAAGGAGACTGGGGGGGTCAGAAAAATCGTGCTTGTTTTTGACAATATTTCGCGATGGACTGAATAAATGTGCAAGAAGAAAAGTTTTAGGTATATTTACACAGCATGTGAAGAGTAGAAAAATTTTGTTTATTAATAAATACTCGTATAAGTATACGATATATATAGCTGAAATATGCTCTCCTTTTTTTTCTCAAGTTATCGTTTTTGCAGTAATATCTCGGCTCTCGGTGGTCCGATCAGAATGAATTTTAGCTAGAAATCTTGAGGAGGCTTATCATTATCCGATGAACACTAGAAAAAAAATCGAACAAAATTAACAAAACGGCAGTTATTATTAGGAAACAATTCAAATTTTTCAGTTCTTTCACAATAAAAAAATTAATATCTCGAAATGAGATATTTTGACGGAGTTGTCCATGATTCACCTGAAAGCCAGATAAACAGATATTATCGCTCTAAAATTTCAAATCGATACGAAGCTCAGTTTCGGAGAAATCACTGCAAAAGGTTGAACAATAAAATTTCGAGAGAAACGCGTTTAAAATTCGAGTGAACGTATATTTATATGAATATTTGTTAATAAACAAAATTTTTCTACTCTTCATATGTCGTATGAATATATCAAAAAATTTCATTCTTGCACATATTTATTCAGTTCGTCACAAAATCATTATCAAAAAACAAGCACGATTTTTCAGTATCGTCTGACCCTCCAGTCCCCCTTAAATAACCCGAGTAGAGCGAGTAACAAAAAATAAAACATCGACAAATTTGCTACCCTCCGTATAATCTCTTCGTTATTATTTTCTATTCTCTTCTACATTTTTCTACGGACAAATTTCGGACAAGTTTCGAACGAAGCGAAACAGGACGAGGTCCGCGCGCCTCGCGCGTCCTGCGCGTCCTGGAATCAGCTCCTGCTCGTTCTCGTGGTCAGACACTCAACGATGCCGCACGAAAGCACGAGTCGCTGGGGAACACGCTGTGTTAATCAATGACCGCGCGTTCAATGGCCGAATGCCACGATGCGTGTACGGCGCGCGCAACCGTTCGAGTAATTTGGTAATTTCACCATTTCGCCGCCTCGAAGGCTCGTAACATTTCGGAAATATGCGTTTGTGTCGTCTGCCGGTTGTTGAATGACGAGCGCGCGGACGACTGGCGGCAGGAGGGGAGGGAGGGGGGGGGAAACAAGAGCACAGCTCCAGTGAGTTTGCTTTCGTAGCATCGCCGCGTTTTCGTCCGTCATTGCGTCTCGAGCCGACGAGCGACGCGGAGCGTCGTGTGTCGATAAAGTCTCGTTTGCGATCGCCGATTCGAATACTTGATCGGCTGTTGGAGGAACGCGTTCGCCGACGGCGACGCGCACGTGCCGCGTTGGTTGCGCCGGGCGATTTAAAGACTTTAATTAAAAGCGACAATGGAAATAGCGAAATCGCGTCTCCTCGATCGGCATCGTGTGTGTGTGTGTGTGTGTGCGCGCGCGAGCGCGAGTGAGTCAGTGAGTGTCCTGTGAGAAACGACGCAGCAGCGGGAGGAGCAGGACACGAAGGACGCAGGATGCAGGACGCTGGGACGCTTATGGCGGTGCATCTCCACAGCTAAGTCCAATTATTTGTCGTGACACGCGGAATGGCTGCGTTTTTAAACGCACACCTCGCGGACGGTACTCGAGTCGAAAAACAGAATCCTTCGAGCCCGGCGCTTGGTAAATAAATAAGTATCGCGTGATGAATCTCGGACAATCAGGCGACCCGCATTGATTCCGCACGACAATCAATATCGATCCAAGCCAAGCCGGGCCGAGCAACGGCCCGCGAGTGCGAATCGATAGCTAATTATGTCCCCAACGAAAGATCGTAAATAATTGACCACTGCCGAGTAACGGCTCGCGGCTCTCGTCAGTGAGCTCAGGCTGGTTTCCCTAACGACGTTACTCGCGCCACGCGATTTCCCAGCGCTCGAATTTCCCGATACTTTCTTTCACTCTCATTTAGCCTTGTCGTTGCGCCGCATCCATATTTAAATGCTTGTTGACGTTTGCGCAACCTCTATCTTTGTCCCCTTACTCGACTTCTCTTCCTCGGAAGCTCTGCTTTTAAAAGCCTCCCCCCCTCCCCCCTCGCCCTCCGTCGAGATTCTCGGCGGATAACAAAGCGATGAATAAACTAACGTGTATTGCTTGTCGAAATGAAGAACCAAAGATCAAAGGCGCGCGGATGGAGTATTGAGACGATTAATCGAATATTAAGCAACACTCGCTCTCCAAGTCTGGAGAATCAATATACTCGGGCATGAAGCAGTGTGTAAACATTCGTGGCCTCAAGATGGAGCAATCGCCTGTAATAACATGCTATATCTCGAGATTCTCTCCGTTGTCCCTTCAAGTTCGGCGGAATTAGCGGGATTAATGCCGAACCGAAATTCACAGATATTCCGCGAGACACAGCAACAAAAGAGAGAGAGAGAGAGAGAGAGAGAGAGAGAGAGAGGCGTTTCTCCTCTCTTAAAAAAAGAAATAGCCGTGCCAAAGGTCGCTCCACTTTTATTCCCACAATCCCGCGGTAATTACATCAAACGACGGTACTACCGTCGTCGCCGTCGCCGTCGCCGTCGCCGTCGCCGTCGCCTCGTCCACGAGGACGCACCCATCGCTCGAGGACGAATCGCTTGAACGAAGTAACGAAGTTGAGCGTGCCCAAGCAGTCGCTTTATTAACTTTAATGCAAAACGCAGCGAGTTCGGCGGTAAAGGTCTCTCGAAGGGGAGGTCCCGCCGCTCGAGGCGATATCCGCGACGATCGGGGGGTAGGGGGAGGAACGAGGGGGAACTTTGGGCTGGCCCCGGCAAAAAGAAGGACACGCGTGGATTTGCATAGAAAGATAGCAAGCGCACTCGTGTGGAAGGCACATTGGCGAGAAGGAAGAAGAGAGAGAGAGAGAGAGAGAGAGAGAGAGACTCGCGCGGAATTCGAACGGACCTCGCGCCCACGGGGTGTAACAAATTTTTCCCGCTCTTTAATCCTCCCGCAGGACATGTTCGTTTTAGCGGCGCCGCGGGGCCGTTTCGCGCCGTCTTGATTAACGCCGTGACGCGGCAACGGACTCTCTCCTCTCTCGCGCTCTCTCTCTGTCTCCCTCTCTCTCTCTCTCTCTCTCTGCCGACCGGCTGCCGACGCAGCTACTTCCCCATTCCCGAACGAGATTAAGAGAAAGGAAGTCGCGCGACGTTAAAAACCCCCTTTCCCGAGCGTCTATTTAATGAAAGGCAGACCTGAATTCCCCATGAATTTTCATCGCGTTAGTCGGCGCGCGCGCGGCTGACGCGGCGATCTTGCGAAAATTCTTCTCGAGACAAGTCGGTCCTCCCGGGATCCAGCCAGGTCAGGATGATTACGGGCTAATGCTAATGAAATAATAGCAATGAGAAAGCAAATAATCGAAGTCGCGATTCGCGAGAGATGCTTTGCACACGAGAGGGAAAAGCCGGCTGTAATCGCGCGTCGGGAGACGCTCGACGAAACGAAGGGAACGAAATTCGTCGGCTAAAAAACCGTCGGCTAAATTGGCGCGCACGGTTGAGCACTGTTAATTTCGAGTAATTTCCTAATAATCTGGAAAACACCGCAGCGCAAACGACTGCCAGTCTATACACCGGAGACAGGCGGAAGCTAGCGCGAATCGGGGACAACGTGGCGCGGTGAAATAAAAATGCGAGCAAGAAGGAGAGGCGAAACGACGAACGCGCGCTACGCCAATTTTATCGATAAATGCCGCCGCCGGAACCGCGCGCGCGCGGTTGACTCCTCTTTTTCCCCCTTTTTCTCTCTTTCTATTATACGCTGCAGATTTTGCAAATAATTTTAATGAAATATCGGAGAAACTCCTGCGGTTCCCTCCCGGCTCCAGGAACCCGCTCCCCCTCCCCTCTCGCCCCGGCCAGCCTGTGTTCCTC